CCCAGTCCCATCCCTGTCCTTCCCAGTGAGTCCCAGTCCCATCCCTGGCCCTCCCAGTGAGTCCCAGTTCCATCCCTGTCCTTCCCAGTGAGTCCCAGTCCCTCCTGCTTCCTGTATTTCCTGAGCCCCATCCCTGTCAATCCCTGTTCCCTGAGCCCCATCCCCATTTCCCAAGCCCCATCCCAGCCCACCTCCATTCCCTGAGCTCCATCCCTGTCAATCCCTGTTTCCCGAGCCCCATCCCTGTTCCCTGAGCCCCATCCCAGCCCCATCCCTATTTCCTGAGCCCCATCCCTGTCAATCCCTGTTCCCTGAGCTCCATCCCTGTTCCCTGAGCCCCATCCCTGTCAGTCGCTGTTCCCTGAGCCCCATCCCAGCCCATCTCCATTCCCTGAGCCCCATCTCTGTCAGTCCCTGTTTCCTGAGCTCCATCCCTGTTCCCTGAGCCCCATCCCTGTTCCCTGAGCCCCATCCCGTGCCCAGGTGTGAGATCTGCGGCTTCACGTGCCGCCAAAAGGCCTCCCTGAACTGGCACATGAGGAAACACGACGCCGACTCCTCGTACCAGTTCCCCTGCGACCTCTGCGGGAAGAGGTTCGAGAAGAGGGACAACGTCACCGCCCACAAGAGCAAGAGCCACCCCGGGGGGACCCCGAAGGAGACCCCGAAAGGGGGGACCCCAAGAGGGGGGACCCCGAAAGGGGGGACCCCAAAAGGGGGGATCCCAAAAGGGGGGATCCCGGCGGGATTCGGGGCCGTCGGGCAGGACCCGGACCCGCCCCGGGAGGGGTCGTAGGGGGGGGCTCATCCCCCGGTTTGGGGGGATGGAGGGGCCAGGGGGGGACCCCAGGGGCCAAAAATGCAGAATTCCCGGGTTTTCTGCCAAATCCTGGGGCAAATCCCAGCTTTTTAGCCAAATCCCCGAGTGAAATCCTCAATTTTCCCGCCAAATCCCGGGTGAAATTCCAATTTTTTAGCCAAATCCCAGTGAAATCCCAATTTTTCCATTTGCCCTGGGGCAAATATCCCAATTTTCCCACCAAATCCTGGGTGAAATCCCCAATTTTTTACCCAATCCCAGGTGAAATCCCGATTTTCCCACCAAGCCCTGGGGCAAATATCCCTCTTTTCCTGCCAAATCCCAAATTCCCCGGAGCCCGAGGGTGCCAAAATCCCCTCAATAAAAGACTTATTTTGGGTAAAAATTGGGATTTTGGGCCGAGTTTCTGCGGGAAAGAGGCGGAAAAAGGGAAGATTGGGGTGGAAAAAGGGCTGGAGGGGGGATGGAAGCACCAGGAATTAGGGACCCAAACTGGGATGGGTGGGAATTCCCAGTCAGGCCCCGCCCCTGGACTGGGATGGGCGGGAATTCCCAAGGCTTTAAACCTTCCTTTGAAATTTAAAACTTAAATTAGCATTTAAAACCCGAGCCTGAAGTCACAGGTACCTGAAGGCTCCGAGTTGGGACCATTCCCAGGATCCCAAATGATCCCAAAATCCCCCTGAGCCCCCCCAAAAGCAGGAGCAGCTTCTCCTCCTCCCCCAGCACCCAAAAAAACCCCAAATCACCGTTTTTTGGGTGGTTTTTTTTTGCACAGCAACTTTTATTTCCCCACTAACGGTGAGAGGGACACGAAGAGCAGCGGGGGGGGGACAAAGGGGGGGACAAGAACGAGGTGACACCGAAAAAAAAGGGTCCCCCCCCTCCTCCAGACCCCAAATGAGCCCCCAAATCCCCTCCAGGTGACCCCAAACTCCACTGCCCCCCCTTTTCCCTGGATTCAGGGGCTCCCAAGGGATCAGGGTTTGGGAAAAGGGGGGGATTTTGGGGGGAATTGGGGGGGATTTTGGGGGGGAAATGGGAGAGATTTGGGGGGAAATGGGGGAGATTTTGGGGGCAAATGGGGGGGATTTTGGGGGGAAATAGGGGAGCTTTGGCTCTGGTTCGAGGTGGGGGCTCCAAAAAATTCCAGGGAAAAAGGGACTGGGGGGGGTCGGGAGGGGCTCAACCAGCCCCCCCCCCAACAGCCAACGGCCCTGAGGAAGATTTTTGGGGGGGTGAAAAGACTCAAAAAACTTTAAATGCAACAAGGGGGGAAAAAACCCAAAATTCCAAACCCCCCCTGCTCTGAGTGGGAGTTTGGGGGGGGGGGGGCCTGCCTGGAAGCAAAGGAAAGGGGGGGGTGGGGGGGGGGGGGGGCGGGCGGGGGGCGGGGGAGGGGGGCGCAGGGGCCCCCTGGCAGGGGGGCGGGGGGAGGAGGGGGAGGAGGAAGGAGGGGGGGAGGAGGAGGAGGAGGAGAAGAGGAGGAAGGGGAGGAGGAGGAGAAGGGAAGGATGAGAAGGAGGAAAGGGAGGAGGAGGAGAAGAAGGAGGGAAGGAGAAGAAGGTGGAGGAAGAGAAGGAGAAGGAAGGGGAGGAAGAAGAGAAAGGAGGAGGAGAAGTTGGAGCGTGAGGAGAGGAGGAGGAAGAGAAGAGGAGGAGGAAGAGGAGGAGAAGAGAAGGAGGAGAAGGAGGAGAGGAGGAAGGGGAGAAGGTGGAGAGGGAGGGAGAGAAGGAGGGGAGGAGGGGGTGAGGAGGAGGAAGAGGAGAAGGGAAGGAGAGGAGGAGGAAGAGGACAAGGAGAGGGGAAGTTGGAAGGGGAGGAGGAGGAAGAGGAGAAGGTGGAGAGGGAGGAGAAGGAGAAGGAGAAGAAGGGAAGGAAAGGAGGAGGAAGAGGAGGAAGGGGAGGAGGGGAGGATGAGGAGGAGGAGAGGAGGAGGATGAGGAGGAGGAGAGGAGGGGAAGGGAAGGAAAGGAGGAGGATGAGGAGGAGGAGAGGAGGAGGATGAGGAGGAAGGGGAGGAGGGAAGGAGGAGGATGAGGAGGAGGATGAGGAGAAGAGGAGAAGTGGCGGTGGCAGCTCGGGCGGGGCGGCCTCAGTTGCAGAGGGACAGCGAGGAGCCGACGTAGAAGAGCCAGAAGAAGGGGAAGATCCTCTCGGAGAAGGCGGCGGTGAAGGTGAAGATGGGCGCCATGGTGTCGGCGTTGTAGAAGGCCACCCAGCCGCCCTCGTAGTCCAGGTACACGCCCACCTTGCGCGGCCGCTCGCACAGCGACAGCGGCGTCTCGGGCGAGGTGAACGCCTGGTACTGATCCCAATTCTTGCCCTTCCAGTTGAGCCCCACCGCCCAGATCCCCTCCTCGGGGGCGAAGTCGACCTTCTCCTTGCGCCGCACGGACTCGCGGGCGGCCCCCAGCACCCAGCTCTCGCCGTCGCCCACCTCCACCTCCCAGTAGTGCCTCCCTGCCTGGAAGCCCTCGCAGGCCAGGACGCAGAAGGCGTAGTCGAAGCGTTTGGGGTGCGCCGGCAGCTCCTGGGGGGCCCCGCGCAGGCGGACGCTGCGCTTGTCCTCCGACAGCACCAGGTAGGGGTTGGCGGTGTCGGGGTCCAGGGACAGGTCGGCTGGGAAAGGAAAGGGGGTGATTCAGTGTCTGGGTCCCAAATGGGATGGGGGGGACACCTCTGGGGTCACTTGTGGGGTCACTGTCCCACCAGAGCACCAGGCAGGGGTTGGCGGTGTCGGGGTCCAGGGACAGGTCGGCTGGGAAAGGAGGGGGGAAAAAGGGGGTGATTCAGTGTCTGTGTCCCAAATGGGACAGGGGGGACACAGGGGGGTCACTTGTGGGGTCATTGGGGGTGATCCAGAGTCTGTGTCCCAAATGGGACAGGGGGGTCACCTGTGGGGTCCCTCCTGGAGCTGTGAGGGGGGGACACCAGGGGGGTGTCACTGATGGGATGGGGGGACACAGGGGAGGCACCTGTGGGGTCATTCCTGGAGCTGTGAGGGGGTGACACGGTGTCTGTGTCCCAAATGGGATGGGGAGGATGCAGGGGGGACACCTGTGGGGTCACTGTCCCAACACAGAGGGGGGTGATCCAGAGTCTGGGTCCCAAATGGGACAGGGGG